CGAAGCTGTTCCCAACGCGAGCGCGAAGACTTTGCCGCTTACGACGCCGTCCATAACGTACGCAAACAGTTTGTGGACGCGTTGCACAAAGAGTTCGGCCAAGAATTGGGTTTGAGTTACGCCATCGGCGGTCAGATATCGTTCGACTGTTTCCCGAAGGGTTGGGACAAAACCTATTGTCTCCGTTTTGTGGAGAAAGACTTCGAAAAGATCTACTTCTTCGGCGATAAGACCACTCCCGGCGGCAACGACTACGAGATCTATACCGACCCGCGAACCATCGGCTACGCTGTCAAGAGTCCCGATCACACCAAACAGATAATCAAACAATTGAACTTCTGATCCAATATTGATGTCTATTCTCTTATAAAGTTTTGATAAATTATAGTGAATATTAATTACAACAAAAATATTGTGATAAAAGCGATTAAAATTTAATTAAAAATTGCTTTTTATTTATGAAAAATTAATTATAATTTCACGTCTATTTTGTACGTAAAATAAATGGCATTTAAATAATGTGTTTTGAAAATATCTCTCAAATTTGATAATTAAAATGTGAATTAAAATAATATTCTAAAATTGCGATAAACTTTATGGCAGTTATAATGAGTTTAGAAAAGGCCGTCCATTATATACACATAAAAATGTCTTAAAATAATGAATAAATAAAAGCATAGGAGAGAAGTATTGGAGATCTCTTGGGATTGGATCGGATGAGACAATTTGGTGGCAATTGTTTAACAATTCAAATGTTAACTCGTTTTCCGTGCACTCGGAAGCGGTAGAGACACGTGTATTCGTTGTGGCCGTGATTTGATAGTATCACTACCTCTATAAACTCTATGGGCGGCGGATTCGGGTCTTCGACATCGAAGTACTGCATCGGAGAGCCGTTGTCTTCGTACACATAATTGCCCAGAAGTCGTCCGTTAGGGTCACTCTCGGAGTCTAAGCCCCGGACCTGAAACTCTTTGGGCGCGGAATCGATGTTCCCGTCTCTGGAGATCTGTTTGGGAATGTGTTCGTAGGAGAAACCGGTCGGACGTATCGGTTGCGACAGTTTTATCACTAAATAGCCGTTGGATCCCCTGAACGCCCAGCACTCGCCCGGACTTATTGTCGGCTGAATTACGGCCCGCGGACTCACCGATGAGCTCCAGAACGGTATACCAAACACTTTGTATTGAACGCCGTGCGGATCAAATGTCTCGGAACAGCGGGTGTTGACAATAGTTCCGCCTTAAGAATCAAATAAAAAATATAAACAAAAATGTAATTTTGTAACTAAATAAATACAAATCAAAGCCACAATACCTGCGGGTTCTAACGCGAAGTCGGGCTGACCAGTCTTGTCGGCGTCATAGATGGCCAGCGCCTGACTGATCAGTGACTTGATCTCAGCGATAGTTATATTCGACGACTGATCGTCAGATGTTTTGGCGGTTGTTATCTGACTCTCGAGCCGATCGACAGTTGCCAACAGTTTGTGTTCAATCGATTCCATGAAAACGCCATTCGTTTTACTCAACTCACGGCTAATGAATTGCTTCAATTCTTGAGCGGCTTCGGTGGGTGTCATCGTCGGTCGCGAAGTCCGCTGTTCGTTGAGCATCGATGACATGAATTCAGACAACCGCTGGTCAATCATCGCTAACATGACGTCCGTATCATTTCGGCAACAATTTTTCATATAATGATTCAAATGCTCTTCAATTGTGGCCACTCTATCATCAAATTGAGACCACTTTTCGTTGTCATTGCTTTGCATTTTGGACTTAAAGTCGTTGTTTGAATCCTTCAAACTCTGCAAATCGTAACGAATTGTTTTCATCTCTTTAATCAATTCATTGATGGCGTGTTTGGACGCCATATCACTGCCACCGCCGCCGCCAATCGTCAGTCCATCCAATGGACTGAACGACGCGGACGACGACCACAATATGTTAGGACTAGACATGTATTGACTCATTAAGTATACGAAACCCGCGAGAAATGGCAACAAAACAATGAAAAGGCAAAGCGAAGGGCACTTATTGTGGACTCGTTTCAGCACAGGTGGTGTCACAGAATCTATCAGTTTTGAGGTACTATTGATTGTCGTCTTAAATATATTTGTAACTCTTCTAACAACTGTTATCTCATCTTCTTCTTCGTCGTCGTCGTAGTCATCGTCTTCGCTGTAGAGCTGTCTTCTGGTATTTCTACCGTTGTTTGCGGTAATTCTGTAGCCATTGTGTTGATAATCGCCGAGTATTTGATGATTCAATCTGTTATGCATTGCATATTCGTCGTCATCACTGAATTCTGTGACCAATTAAATAGTGATTTAGACTAAGAACTCAAAAAACAAGACAATCAATAGTAATATTTACCAATTTCTGGCTCAAGTCCTTGACCTGAATTCGGTATAACAATACCCGCGGATCTGTTGCCTCCTCTCCTTCTCATCTTCTTATGCACTTCACAACCGGCCTCTGGAGTGCAATATAAGACAAACCACTCATTAAGTATACAGTAAAATACATAACGGATTCATTCATTACCGCATTGATTGCCACCCAAACAGTTACTTCTGGTGAACATCTGATCCTTAGCGGCCTTTTTAGGCGACCGGCGGGCGTCTGACATCACAGAGGACTCCCTCTCGGAGTCAGCCGTAGACATAGTTTCGGATGAATTGATGGAATTGTTGATGAGTTCCAGTTTCGATAGCGTACTCGACGTCGACTTCGAGGACACGCTCTTCGCCGACGTTATGATACTCTTACGAGACATGTTTGGCACCGACCAGTCAAACAGCTTTGACCGCTCTATACGCCGATTATAGCTATAGCTCTGAGCGTACGTGTAGTCAGTCTTCGTTGAATCCCTAATCAATCATAAAATCAAATTATCGTTAATTTGCTA